AAGCAATCAGCCGAGTCGCAATCCTTAGATTCAACCGGAGTAAGCTCTAAGAGAATTGGACAGGTTTAGAATGACTTAGAATCCAGCTTCATCGAAACCAGTCTGGATGGACAAACTTACTGGGGGTTGGAGGATCCATTCTGCATTGTTTCACCGCCTTGTAGTTAAGGTTTAGTGTGGTTGCGTGAACTGTAGGCGGATCAATATTGGTCCGAGGATGTTTAAGTCACAAGTATACACTCTGTAAGTATGGCCCCTAGGAAGTGAATTGTGTTAATAAAACCATGGGCTACTATTGCATTCACTCATTGTATATACGAGTGCATGAAGCTCATCCAAAGTGAATTGTTCCATGCATAACCAATCATCTAAAGTACAGATCCTTCTAACAAAGGCAACCCATAGTGTCAATACCGTCATTCAGAGTATAAAGAGATAATTATAGCAAAGAATATCAAAGAAAAGAAAGACATTGAATCAATAAGCCCACATGCATTTGTAGGCCATTAGTCTATGACCTAGCCGGTCGTACTCCAACTGTCCAATCCAGCTGTCATTGGTTCCGCTCAACTTCCCGAATACGCTTGCGCCCTTCCATACAACCACTTGAGGATCGAGATCTCGAGGAGGGGTGCCAATCATAATCTCTTTGGCAAATCCAGGCCGAAGTGCCTGCAGTCGCTCCTCAAGGAATGAGTGAAACCCATTGATCAAGCTTCCACCTCCAACAACCATGATACCGCCAAGGAAGTCCCGCATTTTGCGTTCATCAGACCGAGTAGCATGGGCAATAGACATAAGAATCGCACTGTCAAGTGGGAACGCCGGCAGTATATCATCGCGTTCTTCAACGGTTGGTGCACGAGGTTGCGATGTACTTTGACTTTGCCCGCCGACTGCAGGTGTACCAGCGCCACCAGCTTGAGGAGTACCGGTCACCTCTGGTGCAGGAGATCCGGCAACAGAAGATCGAGGAGTAGCCTCTGTCTCCTGGAGGCGGCTAAGGGCATTTACTTGCTGGGAGCGGCTCGGTGTCGACTGCACATCTAAAGTATTGGACTGAGTATCGCCATTCGCCTGGCCACTGATAGGAGGAGCAATGGCTGTTAAGAGTTCTGATTGCGCTGCAGATGTTGGGTCGTTTGGTTGGCTGTCATATATGTCGACTGAACGGGATATCAAGTTCCTTCGTCCATTGAGCTTTAGGGAATGGTCAAAAATGGATGGCTGGAAGTATCCCATGGGCGCCAAATGCACCTCATCGTAAGCTTTGAAGGTGTACTTCCTTGTATCCTGGCCAGCGACACGAAGGTGGAAGTCGAACACTTGTACAGAGACACTGGCTTCATTCATGGTACAGATGTTCTTCTTCAGCTCCTCAGCGAGTAGAAAGTCGTACCGACGCCATAGATTGATGTCCGCATAAGGAAAATGATCGTACAGCATCATCTTGACGAATGCCTCTGTCACATCCGACCCGCCGTATTTGAGATTCACACGCGAATTCTCTATGCACATTCCTTCTTCCACACAGCAGATTGAAGTCTTCTGCGCACCGATGTCGACCACACAAGCCGATGTAAATCCCGCCCCAAATGTAGCAGCCAAACTCTCCTGGATGAAGCAGACGCGGGCAAATGAAAACTCCCTCATGAGCATTTCAAGTACTTGTGTAACGTAGGATTTCTCATAAAGATCTGGGATGACAAACACGCAGGAGTACTGTAGCCAGTCCTTTTTACTTGTAAGGCCCAGCTGATTCTTGATTGCATCTTCAAGAATCAACGAGATATCCAGGAATAAGAGTCTTTTGCTATTGTAGTCTCGCTCGTTACACCAGCCATACTTCATTGGCCAGTAGAGCTTGTAACGAGGTGTCGATGCATCTGGGATCCTCAAAGCTGCCTGGCCTACTATATACTCCGGCGCGACGTCCGGGATCTCCGTCCATTCAACCCGCATTGGGTCATTGTGTTCCGAGATCGTCTCTGGAACGGTTCTTCGGTTGTAATTGATTACCATTTCCTTGGAGTTCGGCAGCGTCCTGCGTTTGTTTTGCCGCATGTGTGTTTTGAGTTCCGCGGACATGGTAGTGTACTGTGAAGAGAACTGTGACCAGAAAACACAAAGTTAGGCTAAGGCTGCAACGAAGAGCACATGAGAACCAACCTCAGAACCAAACATTTTCTCTGGTTCCAACTCGGAGCCATCATCTGTTTTCAATCGCTTAGGGCAAGGCTCCTCGCGGTCCTCAGACTCGCTAGTTGTAGACTTTCGCGCAATGACCATCGGAACGGTTTTCGGTAACGCATCACTGGAAAGTCCGATTCGCAGATTCTGGCTGCCAACATGTATAACAATGACCTTCGACCCGGCAGCTTCTGCGGTAGCCTCCTCTGCATCCTCCATATTGGTATCACCATCGTCTGCATCGGCTTCTGGGATACCGAGGTCATTCGCTTTTGCCATAGCTAGAGCACGATCTCGGTCTTTGGCTGTTTTGGCCATGCGATTTCGCGCTTCTTCATTTTGTAGTCGAAACGCTAGATACTGGTCATCTCTCTTAAGATAGTCTCTGGAACTTATTTAGTATGCTGTCCGAATATGGGGCCACCGAAAGCACCATGGTAAAGGCGAACCACGTACGTGTAATAGTTCTTTTGGTTGATGGGAGGAATTTGAGGCCAGCTCGATAGTTCCATGTTGTTGTCTGTTCTTTCAAGGCCTAGGGGGTATCAGACCATTAGCACATTGCTCTCAATGAGGTGCATCTGACTTCCACCGGGCACTTGTAACCACTCAGGCACGACGATATTTGGCGAGCATACCTTCATCCCGAAGAAGGGCCTTTCCAGACTTCTTTCCAACCATGGTGTGCTATTTGGTAATATCAAAGATCGAGGGCTAAGTATGAATGATGTTACGTTGATTCGGGACGTAATGCGGCGCTGGTCGCAAGCCGATCGCAAGAAGTTCTTGAATTGGGAGGGGGATCTAGTGGTGGACAATCGGAGCGGACACCATCGGGGGTGGTAGTGGTTGGTGATGTTGTTGGGGAGAAGAGAAAGAGGAGGACGTGAGAGATATAAATATAAAAAAGGGTTGTAACAATAAGGGCAGGAGAGGATGGAATGGAACTTGCGCGGCAATCAATTCATATTTAATTAATTCTGCCACTCGCAATGGCCCAGGGTCTCTCCATCCCCAGGGCCCAAGAGAGAAAGACTGAGCTTGGACCAACACCGATCGGCGCCGCAGCACATCCGCCGGCCAATCGTTGCCACAACCCAAGAAATCCCTCCCATTCATACACCATTTAGTCAGCTATTGCTTTCTGTGTTGTTCGTCATTATTGCTATACCGATTTCTCTTTTTCCCTTCTTTCAGTCACTCACCCCTAAACTGTCGAAAACCACTTGTGAATCCCCCGAATTGATCCTATTGTCCATTCATCCCGAATCGGTCAACATCTACGCCGTCAACCCGATCAACACCAACCTCTTCGCACTCCCGCAACATCTCCCTTGAGTCCTCCCACTTCCGATTAAGAGTCGCGTTGCCTTATTAAATAAAAAAGCCAAAAATGGGTGGTTCGTTGTCGCGTCTATGGTCCTTCCTCTGGACGAAGAAGGAAATCCGTATTCTCATCTTAGGTCTCGTACGTGGCTATAGTCTCACACTAGGCATCAGGGAAATCCAGGACTAATCCACTATGGTGGTGTAGGATAATGCTGGAAAGACTACACTCCTTTACAGAATGAAGGTATGTTTCAATACGATTTCTCTGCTTGAAGTACACATCACACGAACACTATGCTCACGATCGATTGATCCCATAGATCGGTGAGGTCGTCACGACGATACCTACTATCGGTTTCAATGTTGAATCCGTCACATATAGAAATTTGAACTTCAATGTCTGGGTAAGTATACTGCGATGGTGATCTCGGATTTCTAAACAACACTGGGGAAGATAATTTCTGATACCTGTTTGTTTCTATTTTAGGATCTTGGAGGCCAAACGTCTATCCGGCCATACTGGCGATGCTACTACGCTAACACCGCTGCTGTTATTTTCGTCATCGACTCTACAGATATTGAACGACTGGGCACAGCTGCAGACGAGCTTGCAGCCATGTTAAACGAGGAGGAACTTTGCGATGCCGCGCTGCTGGTATTCGCAAACAAGCAGGACCAGCCGGGCGCCAAGGGAGCCGGAGAGATCTCGGAGGCTCTGAAGCTTGGCGAACTCCGAGATAGAAACTGGAGTATCGTGGCGTGCTCAGCTATTGATGGTAAGGGTCTTAACGAAGGCATGGATTGGTTGGTGGTGAGTACACCCTGTTTCCTGTCAGGTTTAAAGCCGTTTGTCGCCAGTCAAACTAATATATCCCATGTACAGCAAACTCTTCAATCAGAAAACGCATAAGCGCTGGCGTCAATGTGTCATGCAATAGATCTTGATTTTGGTATATCTCCTCGACCGTACATGAGCGGGCTTCTTAGACGGGCGTTCACCGCGTCTGAAAAGCTCTCCCTTCTTCTTTTTCTTTCCCATTTTTCATCACTCTGTTGGGGAGACAGAGCTTATGTCTTTATACTGTATACCTCTCTTATCTCTTTTAAACCTAAATTTTTGAAGACTTAGCATAATATCCTAATTGATGGTCCGGTGATATCTGGAAGTGCGAGTCCGTCGTTTTAGCGCAATGGCCTGGATAGGCAATATGTCATGTGCATGGAACTTGACTGTTAGAGTTGTATAGCGCACAACTTGAAAGCAAGTCGACATGTCCACATGTATCTATAATATGTAGACAGCCGCTAATAGACTGTTCAGCATGCCTGTTCGTAAGACGCACAGTGGTAATGATAGGTATAGAAGCTATATGAATCACCCTCAGGTGGTTTATATGTCGTATTTCTAAGTGGGTATATATGAACAAGAGTAAAATACATTAGTCGACCATATTTAATCATTCGGTTATCCAACATAAAGTCATCTACAATGGATAGCCGCCACGCCACACCTCTTTCCCATGAAATTGCTGTTTTGACGCTGAGGATATACCGGGGAGGCATTTCCTATTCCTTGTAAGCACTCAAGAGAGAACTTCACCGTGTTCCAGCGATGTTGCAGTCCTCATCACGAGGCCGTGTCCTGGGCCATTGCTAGCCAAGCTGTAGGAGAATCAAAATTACTGAGATGGCAAGATCTCAGTTGTGAAGCTATATGAAGCAGACCACGAAAGACACGTCCTTTAGAACTCCATATCGTCATCGTCATCTTGCGTAGCGTCATATCCACCATTGGCCATATCTTCTGCCATCTGTTCTCTCCGCGCTTGCTCCTTTGATGCGCCAATCTTCCTGTGAAGTAGAAAATTTAAGGTTAGCAATGAGAACTATGTTCTGTTCCAGTAAGGTGAATGGATAGCGTACCTTAGTCCATCGACAACACCAGCAATGAACCCCCTTCCCTCACCAACCTCCATCGCCCCGACACCGGTTAATGCTACCCCGCCCCCACCAGTGGAGGCAACATCTAGCATGTCCACACCCGATCTTATCTTAGCTGTTCGCACCTCGCGCAGCTCTTTCAAGAGCCTCCGGGTCTGGTCTGGGTCCACCAAGTCATCACTAGCGGCGTCAAGAAGCATCGTTCCAACCTCTAGCCAGTGAAATGGCAGCGACGGAGGCTCGCCAGATGGGACATGGTCCTGCACGACATTCTGGGGTAGGAATGGCGGTGCTGGGTAGTACCGTCCGCCATCGGGGGTATAGCGAGGTACGGCGACAGGTCGTTGTCCACGATCCCGAAGGCTTGGCTGGCCTGGTAGTGGCGGTGGCGGGGAGAATGCATGCTGATACTCATGGTGTTGGGTTTCAATTTCGAGGATGAGGGAAAGAGATTCTGGATGGAGCCATGGTGGAGGAAGGATATTTGCGCGACGTTGGCGTTTGAGAAGGAGAGCCAGCCAAAGGGGTAGAGAAGCGCGTCGGGGCGGCAGAAGAGGCTCAACAGGGCCCTGATCCATTATGTTAGATTTATGTAGCCCTCCAAGTAGACTGAATATTGACTTGGTATATTCGTTCTTCTATCAATACTGCCCCGCCGCCTTTTCTCAATCACTTGGCTTTTTTTTTCTTGATATACATGATTCAGATGGGTAGGAAACTTATTCATCAATACAACATGGGTACAGAACAATACACTTACACCGAGAAGCTCCAATCCCTCCAAGCGTTGACGAGGAAGGATGGTGACCATCTCCATCTCAGCCAGAAAGGATATCTCCGGGGGCGTAATGCCCCGCGGGAGGGGAAAGGCCATTGGCCGTCAAGATTTCACAGAATATGGGGGGAACAGCTTATCGGGATGCACGAGACTTAGCGACCGTTGTTCATATCATTAAAAACACTCAGTAATGGAGGCAAAGATGATCGTCACAGCGTCTAGACCATGGATAAAGCTGGGGATATAGAATTGACCAATGCGGTGGGTGTTTGTTCTGTTTGCAAATTTTAATGTTTCTCCGCGGTCAATTTATTTAATTTGTTAGTTACTTAAATTGAAGGTAGTGACTTCATGATCCCACTCCTTTACTTTAATTCCAGTTCCATGGTCAATTGGTCCAAATCGATACTATGAGTGCCGCTCAACCTCAGTCGGGCCTGGCTCTTGCCGCCCGCTATGCGGTTCCTTTTGTTTTGTTGTCGATACCTATATGGATGAATCGGGTCAATGCCGTGGTTCCGGAGCCGTATTTGGATGAAGCTTTCCATATTCCCCAAGCTCAAGCATATTGGCATCACAAATGGACGCACTGGGACCCGAAAATCACCACTCCCCCTGGCCTCTATCTCTGGTCGTACCTTCTTTGCGCTGGTGCGCTTTTGCTTCGAGGCTCTCCGATAGAGCTCAATGCGGAAGCACTTCGTTCAACCAATGTTGCAGCTGCCGCCATCTTCCTACCCTTGAGACTGCAGACCTTGCTAGATAGGTTACGGAAAGAACGCAATACACGGCCATCCGGCTCATGGCTAAGCCATACTGTGCTGAATATCTGTCTCTTTCCGCCGTTGTTCTTCTTTTCGGGCCTCTACTATACCGATATCCTTGCCCTGTTGGTTGTAATTGAGGCGTACAACTGGGACCTTAGAAGGTCGACTCCAAATGTCTCTCCTGGTCACTCTGTTGTGTTCATTCTTCTGGGAGTGGCTGCGCTGGCCTTTAGACAGACCAACATCTTCTGGGTCGCGGTTTTCTTCGGCGGATTGCAAGTCATCCGGACATTGCGGAAATCTTCCAAGACATGTCAGTCGTCGAATGCTGCAGATATTGTCAAAGGAGGCTTCAAAAATGAATTGTATGACCCGCAGGTGTCAGAGGCCTCGTTGGCGGGTGGGTTACCTTCTTTGTCTCCTGTTATGTAAGTTGCTAATGGAGCTCTAGATTATTTCAAAACCGCCCTTTCCCTCTGTTCTGCTTTGCTTGGTAACTTGGGTCAGGTTGCTATCTCCTCAATCCCGTATGTTCTTATTCTTGCGGCCTTCGGAGGCTTTGTATTGTGGAATAATGGGGTTGTCTTGGGTAAGTTCAACAATGATCTACTTGTAATTGGTGTCTCATAAATCTACTAGGACATAAAGAATACCATACTGCGGGCTTGCATCTGCCTCAGATGTTGTATATTTGGCCTTATATCTTCTTCTTCTCGTGGCCTATCCTGATTCCGCCTGCTGTCAATACGATTCTTCCCAAGGCTTCTCTGCCTAGGTTTATGCACTATGGCTTTTCGGAAAAGCAGAAGGGTATCCCAAAGATTTTGACGATTCTCGCGATCGTCCCTGTTATGCTGGTCACCGTCCACTACAACACTATCGTTCACCCCTTCACACTCGCCGACAACCGTCATTATATCTTCTACGTCTTTCGCCTTCTCCTCCGGATTCATCCGGCTGTCAAATATGTCGCGACTATTGTTTACTTCCTCTGCGGTTGGGCGGTTATCTCCGCCTTTGGCTTTTCGACTACCACACCGCCGCCTCGATTCATTCAAGCTCCACAGCCAGCGCCGGCCTCCCAGCCATCTGTTCGGAAAGGTCAAAAGGCTCAAAAACAGACCGGCAACAAAAGGCAGCCTTCCAAGAAAGTCACCCAGCCCCCCAAAACAGAGCAGATCACACCAGAAGCCTTCGCAAAGATCCAAGAGGCGATCAAGCAACGCCAACTGCAACAACTGGATGCACCACGAGTAAGCTTTGTCCTTGTCTGGCTTATCGCTACGACTCTCTCGCTTATCACTGCGCCCCTGGTTGAGCCACGATACTTCATAATCCCTTGGGTAATGTGGCGACTGCATCTTCCACGCCAACCCCCGCCGCTTGTTTACCGGGAGCAGCGTCCTCGGGATGCGAAAGAAGCACTCCATGCAAAGATCGCAACCAACTTTCCACTATTCCTGGAAACCTTCTGGTTCCTGGTCATCAACGTTGTGACCGGATACATCTTTCTCTATAATGGTTTCGAGTGGCCTCAGGAGCCTGGAAAGATCCAACGGTTCATGTGGTGATGATCACTTTGATCTCTTTGCCTTCTTTGATTGTTTTATTATTAATTGCAAGCAGCTTCGGGCTGTGGATTATAGAATAGAGAAAGCCTTTGTAATTTTATGGTGCTGTATATTAGAAATTTTATTCCTTTGTGAATAGCGTCAATAGTAGGTGTGCGCTATTCAGCCAGGACACCTGCTTGCCACCTAATCTATAAAGAATTTCTTTTACCACCGGAATAGAACATCATAATATCTGTCTATCTTACTATACTACAAAGTGTGCTTTTAAGTCTTGTTTTGTTTTGAGTATAAGACACGTATTCTAAGCAATGATTTTATTTAAGATATAAACTACTAAGTATTTACTCCAGGATTATAGATAAAGAACTATCCATAGTGACCTCCCTAATTTCACTATTTTTCTGAAATTCCTACTAGATTGAGTACAGACTGGGTTGTAAGTACTAAGTAGGGGCCATAGTACCTAGTTAGGGGTACCAATACCTAAGCTCAGCTTAAGGGGCGCCGTTTGAGAATAGGACATCTCAAAAAAAAAGTTATAGAGCCTCCACGCGGGATTGAACCACGGACCTCTTGATTACAACTGTTTTAACGGTTAGTTTACACTGATTTATCAATATTAATACGACGGGATCACATACGTCAAGCGCTCTACCACTGAGCTATAGAGGCATATATGAAATTAGTAAGCAGTCAGCTACATTCTTACTGTACTTGCATAGACCATCTTATTCTACTTGCTGAGAGTAATTGGGCTTTATACTTTAAAAAGTCGAAAATATTGAACTATATTCTAGGGATTTCTAGTACCATCATCTACAAAAGTATATCCGAATACACAGTTTTGCAGGTAAACACTAGTTATTATACTTTATCGGTAAGTACGTACAATAACTCGAAGTATTGACCAAGGCGGTGCCAGTATACGTCTGGACACAATTACAGTGTTTTCATGTAAATCACTAGATCTTCTAGAAGAAGATAGTAGTTCCCTGAATGCAATATCTATGTGCATATTGTTCCCGATTACAAGCAGTAGTGAAGTTAATATTTATGACCTGAATCTACTCCAGTCCTCTTCACTGTCCTATTCTACCCCATCCTTTGCCTACTTCTCTCGCCCTTACCCATAAGCTCTCCAATATGAAAAGCTTCGTTTCGTCTCGAATCATACCATCTACCCAGTTTCTACTTCTTGCCATGAACAAAACAACTCAAGAATATTAACATAACCCGATTACAATTTACCACCAAGAATAGTCATCAACACCCCGACAAGTCCCCATGACGAACAAGCACAAAAAAAAAAAAAAAAGAACACATAATTCATGTCAACATAAACAGGTCATGTGGCACTCACCTGCCAAAGAAGATAAAAACCTACGGTAGACCTTTTTTCTCCCTTAGCTTCACGGCTTCGCGCACGCTATTACTAAGTGTACGGGATCAAAGATAACTGGCAAAATGTGACCATCCCAGCAATCTGCTCAGAGACGATAATTTTATCGGGTCCCTCACCTGATTTGTTTCTTCTTGGGACATTTCAGTCAGTTTCTTCCTGAGCGTCTCGCAAGGGTGATCTGAGGGGTCGGGAGGTTTTCTGATCAATGATGATGTTTGCGGTTTATGCCTCCCGGAACTGAATGTACTTGGTGGTGATGCACTGGTACATGATTATAAGGGATTTCTTGAGATCAAGGGTGCTTTTGGAAGAGTAGGTTATTGTGAGATGGTATCGAGGGGAGTGAGGGAGGGAGATGTTGGGGAGATGGGCTATGGGCAAGTTTTATGTCTATTTGTCTCTGCTTTGTCTTTATGGAGGAAGGGTGCTTGTATGCTGGCTTTAGTGAGGGAAGGTATTCATCTTTTGGGAGGTTCAGAAGCCTTAGTTTATAGAGAGGGCAGGAAAAGATTCGTGCGGCAAAAAGAGTATACGGTTGGTAGGGCTTGGTGTATACCTTGGGATGGAAGTGAGGAAAAATAGGTTATTAGGTAGACACTACAGTTTACAGCGTACAGATGCGAGCACTCAAGCTAGAAATGATGTCCTAAAAACAATACATTTTGATATCACAGATAATGCTCGAACAGTATGGTTATAAGATGCGTCTGTCAATCCACTCCAGAGTACTGGGGAAGTAAATCAAAATAAGTAGTTTACTTGAAAGCTCAAGCTTATTCATCTCACCTCAATCATTATATATATTGATAGTGGTGAGCTATAGATATTCCACTAAGATGGACTGTGACATCCAACGAGAGTCCTGGCCCCTGAACGGGTAGTATATAGGTATCTTCAAGTACTAGTCGAGTCTAGAAACCAGGTACTAGTGCAGTGAGTGGCGACAGACCACATACGAGCAAGACCAGAAAGAACCGAATGTCCATCCTACACTATTCTAGAAATTATAATCTAATATATTATCCAACGTCTCCCCCCCCCATGCCACTACATAGAGCATCCACCTCCTCTATCCCAAGACTTGGCATGACGTGTGGCCTGAGGCTCCTTACATTTCATCATCCGCCGTATCAACAAATATCAACAACCTCCTGGCCACACATCCAACCTCACTCATGCCCTAAATATACAACAATGGCTAGCGAACATCCCGCAAAGCGCATAAAATTATCCTCCAGTGCCCCAGCAGAAACCAACCAGAACCACCCTGAATCCACAGAGGAAAGTTCCCACATCCAAGGGTTGGAATCACTCCGCCGATCCATTACACCCCCATCTCCATCATCCCGATCTCAAAGGAGATCCCAATCCCAATCTGCCCCACCTCAACCTGCCAAAGATGCAGAAGAAAAAGAAGAATGTGAAAGCACCCAGACACCGCGGGTGATACCCTCCCCTTTCCAACTCACCCACATCCGCGATCTAGCCGCGTCCTCAGGGAATAATGTGGATACGGTTCGATTACGCGATATTCTTGGGGATCCGATGATCCGTGAGTGCTGGCAGTTTAATTATCTGCATGATGTAGATTTTATCATGAGTCAGTTTGATGAAGATGTAAGGCGTTTGGTGAAGGTGAAGGTTGTGCATGGGTCTTGGAAGAGGGATGCGCCTAATCGGGTGCGGATTGATGTATGCCCTAATGATTACATCTAGTCTGCTTCTACATTGCGGACTATGGCGGGTGGACTGATAAGTAATTCAGGAAGCGTGTTCTCGGTATCCGAATGTGGAAGCTATTGTTGCTTATATGCCGGAAGCTTTTGGGACGCACCATTCTAAGATGATGATTCTGCTTAGACATGATGATCTTGCGCAGTATGTATTTCTCTTTTTCTCTTGGTTGTGAGGTCATCCTGATTAACTGTGTTAGGGTTGTTATTCATACTGCTAATATGATCCCCGGTGACTGGGCCAATATGTGCCAGGCGGTCTGGAGATCTCCTCTTCTGCCCCTGCAAAGGACAGATGATCGGGGAGAAGACCTAACCTTAGGCAGTGGTGCACGGTTTAAAAGAGACCTACTGGCATACCTGAATGAGTATGGGCCTAAAAAGACAGGTCCGTTGGTCGAACAACTTAGGAAGTACGATTTTGGAGCTATTCGTGCCGCTCTGGTGGCTAGTGTGCCTTCGAAGCAGAAGATCAACGATCTCGACTCGCAGAAGAAAACACTATGGGGTTGGCCGGCGTTGAAGGATATCATGCGCCACATCCCTCCAGCTCAGGAGAGCAGTAAGGCTACTACACCACATATTGTTACTCAGGTATGTCCAACTGCATCAACATACCGCATACACTGCATGCTCATACGCGTAGATATCCTCCGTTGCTACGCTTGGCCAGACTGATAAGTGGCTGAAAGATGTCCTATTTGCATCCCTTTCGCCAAAATCGACATCTACTCGGCAACCCAAATACTCTATCATTTTCCCTACGGCCGATGAAATCCGCCGGTCCCTGAACGGCTACGGCTCCGGTGGATCAATCCACATGAAACTCCAAAGCCCAGCGCAGCAAAAGCAACTGCAGTACATGCGGCCATACCTTCGACATTGGGCGGGCGACCATGATACGGCAGAGCCGAGTCATACATTCAAGCAAGACGCAGGCCGTCGTCGAGCCGCACCACATATCAAAACATATGTCCGTTTCTCGGATGCAGAGAAAATGGACACCATCGACTGGGCAATGGTCACATCAGCAAACCTCTCCACACAGGCATGGGGAGCAGTCGTCAACGCTTCAGGGGAGGTGAGGATCTGTAGCTGGGAAATAGGAGTCATCGTATGGCCTCAACTATACGTCAAGGACACCGAGTCAGCCACCATGGTCCCCAGTTTCAAAAGAGATACTCCCGAATCCCTCGAAAACAAAGACAACGAAACAACAACAGACACAGTAATCGGCCTGCGTATGCCCTACGGCCTCCCCCTAACACCCTACACAGCCCACGACACGCCCTGGTGTGCAACAGCGCAACACCTCGAGCCAGACTGGCTCGGCCAAACATGGACCCTCGACTAGCCCCGCATGCTACCAAAAGCACAAATACAAGCCACTCATACACTACAATCAAACGAACCAAAATCTGTATATGCACTAGAAGCATGTAGATAACAGCAAAAGGCAGTAATCTAACATTCGTTCGTAACTCGTCACCAAGCCCATAGTATCCAAGTTCATATTCCTCCCTAGTTAAACACAATCAAGCCAAACACTTATTCGCGGGTGCCGTACGTCTCGATGGCTTCGCTAACCTTCTGGATGTAAGAAGCCTGGGCCTTCTGTTCGCTGATGTGGCTGATCTCCTTCCAGGCGTTGTACTTGTACTTCGACTAGAGACAAAAGAAACACCCGTCAGTCACCATCCTCATAGAAAAAAGAAAGACAAAGAAAACTCACCTCGAGCTGGTAGAACGAAGGTTCAGCAGGGGTCTCGTTCCTGGCCCGCTTGAAGTACTTGTAGAACTAATCAATCACCATCAGCACCGGCTTCAACCAACCCTAGAGAGACAGAGGGACATACGTTCAGCATCTCGGTCGAACCAGGCTCCTTGGCCAGCATCTTAACAAGCTTAGTCGCGAACTCGAAACCAGCCTTCAGAGCATCAGCCAGAGGGCCTTCGACCTTGGCGTCATCACCGCCGGCGAGGACGGCCTCAACGGCGGCCTTGAGAAGATCGACGTTGATGCCGGAGGCAGCGGACTGGAGCTCGGCGAACTTAGCACCAGACTGGGCGTAGCTCAGGTTTTCGAGGAAGGCGTCGATGGACATGTTGAATTGATTTGGGAGGGTGGGTTCTGTGGTGATGATGGAGGTGTTTTGAATGGAGAGAAGGTGAGGCTTTTGTTGTTTTTGGGTGAGGGGAGTGAAAAGTGGGGGGGGGATTTTGTTTGCGTTTTGGTGGGGTAATTTATTGGTGACTTGTTTGTTGGGGACTCACATGGTTGGTACACCTGATTTTGTTTTGTTCTGTTTTTCTTTTTCTTTCTTGTTAGCCGATTGGTTGTATAGGGAGAGTTTATTACTTGTGAATATTAATCCTTCTGGTCATATGTGGTTGGAGGTGATATATTCATGTCAGGTATTCATATTGTCAACATTCCCAAACGCCACTATGCAAAGCAAAAAGGGTACTCGTCGCTACAACACACACATATATATATAGCTAAAACAACAAGTACAGACCAAAAACGAAAAAAAAAAAAGAGAGAGAGAGAAAGTAATAGGATAGAAGGCACAATTCCACTACCAATCTACAGCCCAGCCGTTCTTGTTCAGGAACTCCTCGCACGCCGCTTTGAGCGCATAGTTCGGCCGCAGGTCGTTGACCGTCATAGACGTCCGAGTAATCGGGTCGACGCCGGCCTGCTCAACGTACTTCTGGATACCGATGCGGTCAAAGCTGGTCCCAGACGGGGTAATAACGGGGTCGTGCATGATCTCGAAGGTGATACCATCGACTAGATAATCGGGTACGACCTGCCACACAACGTTAGCACAGTATCACCGCAGTACTACCATAGTCATTCCGAGTGTGGTAGATAGACTTACTCTCTCCTGAATATCCCCCTTGGACGCGATCCGGAAAGCATCTCTCACATTCTGCGTATGCTTCTCCGCATCCTCACGGAGCGCCTTCTGATCCTCGACAAACCCAATCTGTCCAATCTCCTCCCGATCCAACTTCCCCTGCAATTCCGCCAGTGCCCGGTTCAAATCCGACTCAATCAAGACCTCCACACTCGCCAACGTCGAACTCATCTCCCGCAGCCGCGCCGTCTCCTTCTGCGCCCAGATCTGCTGCTTCGCGCGCAGAACCGCCTTGGACAGATTCTCCGTCTGGACGTTCTTCGCCGCCAGACTCGCCCGGTACGCATCGATAGCCACCTCATACGCCTCCTGCGGACGCTGCAGTCCCAACAGCGCCTGCGCCAGGTACCAGCAGCTCTTCAGGCTGGAGGCGCTCTTGGGCCCGTACAGACTAATCGCAGCGCGCGCATCCTGTTCCACGCCTGCCCATTTCTCGAGCCGTATCCGAGTCAGAGCGCGGTTCGTAAAGAACGTCGGTTCGCGCGGATTCTTGTGAATTCTGTGCCACGCTGGCGATTAGCCTGGGGATTGTGGTCTTGTTTTCAGACATATAGATATAAGAGGTTCTTTGTTTCTTTCTTTCTTTCGTTCTTTCTTTCTTTTTTTTTATCCTTGTTCTTGAAAAATGATGCACATAACTGAGTAAAATCAATAAAACTCACGCTTGCGAATACAGCTCCTCGGCACCATTGTAATCGCCCTCCTTGAAGAGCTGGTTACCCTTCTCCTTCAATTCAAACGCCATCGTCTAAATCGTATCACTTGATTCAAGATATAACCAAAAATGGGAAAGCCCGTTTTTTCTTCGATATCCAATTTGCGATGCGCCTTTCCTGTTACTTTTTTTTTGGGGAAGTTGAATTACAAAGCGACTATCGGCCAAATTAGAGTGGGGCGCTCCACACGGTGTCCGCAACTAAGTGAATTCCTGGGACGGAACTAAAGATAGAAAAGAACAGAATTATATAGAACCGCTTGAAAGGAGTGATCCGACGGTGACGATGATGGCAAGACGTTGGACGCGGAGGTGGTCGCTGACACTAGGAATCTACCTGGTATTGTCGGGGTCTTTGTGTGCTATAGGTATAGACCGAGCGGGATGCCAGTTAACCTGTTTCTGAAACACGTTATTAGTTGTTATAGGTCCCGGACGGTCTCAGCCCAATGGTTGACGAGGATGCGTGGCCGAGCGATAAGGCTGACTGTGTTCGGTCTGTGTGACCGGGTGAAGAATGGAAACGAGAAGGGGAGGGTATGTAAGTATCCATGATTAATGAGTGGGATTTGTTCGTCGCTGTTTCTTGAAATCGAAGGTGATCGATGCTCGAAGAAGGATGGCGGAGACATCGGATCAGTCAGCAGCGTTTTTTTTTTTTCCTGGAGCACGTACGGACTAACTCTTTATGGAACTATGTATGGGTGTCGGGTGGATATTTCATTGTTTCGGAACTACTTGTATCAAGATTTAGATTCAAAAGGTCATTAGAGATAGGATAGCGGTACGGTTCGAAAAGATGATATTCATTCTATCCTAACCCTACGGCCTAGTAACTAGTAACCAGGATGGAGTAAAACAAACATGGGAAATTCGGCCAGCCAAATTCATTCCAATCGCTTCGTGGTATCGTGGACGTATTTTGTGAATGCAATATTATAAACAAAGGCTTATGGAGCCATCCACCCTGATCAGGATGCCCGTCCAGTCGCTCGGAAGAGGTATAAGAACACAGTGTAAGGGAGAACTCGGGAGAACTCGTCGGATGCCTCCACCAAGCGGGTTTCGCTGATCTAATGACGCGCTATGAGCGCCGTCGTTAAGATGCCGTCAGAGACAGGCGATCCGTTCGCTCGTGCATCATGGTTTGAAGTGTCATTATTAGAGGATCTACTGAGCCTTGGCGAATTCGGCCTCGTAGTCGGAGATAGCCTGGACCTTGGCAGCAGAGGCGCTCTTGGGGTCGAAGCGGTAGGTAACCCACTCGTTGGCGAGCTTCTTAGCGAGTTCAATGCCAATGACACGCTGACCGAAGCAGAGGACGTGGGCATCGTTGCTCAGAATAGCACGCTCGACAGAGAAGGAGTCGTGGGCAGTGACGGCACGGATGCCGGGAACTTTGTTGGCAGCGATGGCAACACCCAGACCCGTACCGCAGATGAAGAGACCACGGTCCGCCTTACCCTCCTTGATAAGCTTAGCACCGGCGACGGCGGGGTGAGGATAGGCAGTCTTGTCGGAGGTTGAGTTAACACCGACATCATCGACGGACTCGACCAGAGGGTTCTTCTGGAGGGCAGCCTTGAGAGTCTCCTTGTAGGGTTGGCCAGCCTCGTCACAGGCCATGACAATGCGAAGTGGCTTCAGATCGGCAGACATTTTGATAATGGAGAGAGATAAGGGTCAATTGACTTCTCTACTTCTAGTTCAGAATTGGGAGAAAGAGAGATTGGATGAGAGAAGGAGATCTAAGGAAATTTGTCTTTGGTGATTTGGAAATGATGGGAGACCGACGACAGGAATCATGGATCCTTATATAGTTTGGAAAGTCAGTCAGTCAGCCCCCCCTCCATTATGTCCCCGGGTCAAACTAGGTTTCTAGCTCTTCCTTCTAAATCTGGGGGAGGTTGCGCAGCGGGTGCCTCTCAATCGAACCAAACCTCGGCGACTGGACCCAGTGTATTGATTGGGCTAAAGCATAGGGAATTGATTGCCCGTGCTTTTCTCTTTCGCTACGCATCACTCTCTCCAAGAGACCTCCCCACCACAACAGGGTTCAAAGGACGACGGGGCATACAGGACGATGTCTGGTTCCAACTGCCCCACGGGTGGCGTCATAGCTTTACATGGGTATGATGGAGGGATCGGAAACGGAACTCCTGGAACTAAAATAGCCTGCGTGGCTTATGAGGTGAATACTAGAGGTTGAATGATCCAATCATTTACCCGATCGAAGTTATACTTAGCAGGCAGTGATTCGGATCTTTTAGGGAACAATCACTTTCTATTTGGTCGCCAAAGCTTCCTTAATAACAACTATGTAGGTATGTATGTACTGACTACTCTGCATAAGCTCGCAGAAGTTAATATCTATCCGGCCATGGCGCCGCCACCTCCGTTTTCTCGTACGAAGTCAAAGAGAGAGTGTGGGTGTCCTTACATTATGCGATCCTCTATCAATTGAACTACTACTCCGTACAATGAATTGCAATCCTTCCGATGTCTCGTGGGGCGGGTTTTAGATGGCTGCAGCCCGTGTGACCAATAGCATTCCATCCACTACCCCCGATCCGGTTTAGCCGAGAGCCTAAGGTCGTAGTTTCCTATCAAAAACTGCCATGGAACGGAACCAAATCAAACCACCAACCCTGTGTGTATTAAGCGGGATTATCTGGCCTTTTTCGAGGGTGTTGAGAAACCTCCCGTCTGCATGTTAGAGTTCTGCCAGGGGTGTTCAACAATATCCTCTGCGAAAAAAAAAAAAAAAAAAAAGCGCCTCCAATTCTCTCAACATAGTCCCTGACGATATGGCACTGCGCAACGTCAATGCGCTTGAAGAATCCTTTGGAGACATGTTCGCTCGTACTATTGAATAGTAGTGGGTTCCCCACAGGGGCTCTACTCTGGGGTATCTCTAATTGTTGGACCATACCGACAGGTGGCTGCGACAACTCGGTATCCACGGATTGTAAGGACTGTTGCGGACCCTCCCAAAGAAGTAAAGTCCAGGAGAGTCCGGCAAGGGACTGTACTTTCGGATTGGTTAATAAAATGGAGACCATTTTCGTAACAACGTGCATAGACTAATGTAGCCAGAGATAGAATTGAATTCAGCACCGTACCAAAGGTACGAATGACGGTGGGCACCTTCACAGTAACGATTCACGACTTCGCTTGGCTTAGTGCAGGATACCTGCGTGTATCTGCTTGGCACTAGTGGTCGTCGAAAAATCGAACCCAGCACATGATAATCGAAATTTGAATTCCAGACCCTCAGATTACCTGGCGGGATTCCCAAGTGTAGATATATAGAGGTCATGTGTACCTCTCGTCTCCATAAAAAAAAATCCTCAGTCAAGCTATTGAGCATACCCAAGGGCGCAGGAGATCTCGCATGTCCTAAAGAGGAGCTCCCGAAAGGATTGGAGCAGAATAGGCCCGGCTCGGCTCTCTCGAAGGTTGCACTTGCATCGTTTCCACTGCACTGGGGGGACTCCACCTTTCGAACCAAACCCAATTCATCTATTGGTGGCCCACAGCCATCCGATCGACCATAACGTCCTTAGGCCGCGAGGCATCAAGGGTGCCAGAACAGGGAATTTCAGCAAAGTCAGCAAACAGGCTCTCTCGCAAACTTACCGCATGAGGATTGGTCCCTCGTGTAAAATTACCGTCACTCGTCGAACCGGGAGGTCCATGCGGTACTCGGAATGCACGCAACGGTACATCCCATCCATGGCTTTCGGTATCGTTCCATACAGGCGGCTTGGATGCCTCAATTTCCACTTCAACTAAAACTCACGGCTTGGCCTCATATCGGAACGACCGGTCGTTACGAGAGTTTCATAATCAGTTCCAGTGACCCCTCCTGGACTCACCCTCACCCCGCCAACAGTTATTATGGCCGCCAACGTCCCTCCTCAGAGTCCTCGTGCCAAATGGCACTGGGGTATACGCTTCCAAGTGTATATCACCCCCTCCAGGCCTCCATAATATAAAGATATACCCTACATATGACATCTCGCGCTTCCATGATCTGACAGGGCACATCCCCATAGTTGGTCCACAAAATCTCTCACTTTCAGCCAGTGATATCACCCACCGGGGGATGCATTCGCGTGGGACGATCGACTGTCTCCTCTTTCTGTCGCTGGGTAAGCCCACTTGGTTACCGAAATTCATGTTTTAGTCCCAGACTTTCGTCCGCTCACAGCCGCAGTTGGCCTCAGGCGCCTTTCAATTAGGTCCAAATCAACTGAACTCTCTGGACGACGACCAACCCAAAAGACTCCCACGTCTCGCACTGACTGAGTTGATTGGCAGAAGTCCCCTCAGTTCAACATCATCTCCCTGCCATCTTCGTGTTTCGGAGATTTGTTCTACTTCCGCCCAACAAATATACTCGTACTTTTGGTTCCCCGTCTACAGGAACGACTCTCTTTCCGTGTCGCCTAAAGTGGAGCTCTAGCGTCGCGGCGGTTATCTCAGGAATCACACCAGAGTGGTCCTCTATATCCAACCCTCCAAAGAATTACGAGTCGCCCATCCCAGCGTTGCGTGCGAAAGCAAAACTAGCGGCTCACAACCGACCAGGATTTCCGGTGAACCTTAGGAAAGCGAAAGAAAAAAAGAAAACCATATTCAGAACAAAATGGCCTCCACGGAGCAAACATACCCGGTGCTACCCAGCACCTTACTCATCATCTCCCTAAAGATGTACTTTACACCCACCCGAACACTAGATTATCTCCGTGCCCTCCTCGACCCCAAAAATGACATTGTCCGGCCAGAGAACCGCTCCAAGCTCCTGTTGGCCTTGATTCCCGACTTCCTGACCATCTACCCCAGCAGCGAGATCATCAAAAACTATGAATCCAGCCTAGCCCCTCAGGAAGCCAAGACCCTACCACCCCCGTTCCTCCTGGGCGCCCAGGACTGCTTCTGGGAGCCGCTGGGCGCCTACACCGGGGAAGTATCCCCACTCGCCCTCCGCTCCATGGGTGTCTCCATCGTCGAACTAGGCCACGCTGAGCGCCGCTCCATCTTCGGCGAAACAGACGACCAGACAGGCCGCAAGGCCGCCGCGGCCTCCGCGCATGGTATGGTGCCGCTCGTCTGCATTGGCGAGGTCACAGCGCCAGGCCCTGTAGCGTCCCAGGCCGTCGGGCTCGCCGTACGCGAGTGCGAGGTGCAAGTCCGCGCAGTCCTGAAGGCCATCCCCGCCCATGCGCCTGTGATCTTCGCCTATGAGCCTGTGTGGGCGATAGGGAAACCAAAACCGGCTGGAGTCGACCACATTTCTGCCGTTGTGGATGGTATCAAGGCGGTGATTGGGGAGCGTCCTGGTGACGTCCGTATTTTGTATGGGGGAAGTGCCGGGCCGGGCCTGTGGGGCGCGGGCGGTCTGGGGAAAGCCGTTGATGGCATGTTTCTGGGGAGATTCGCCCATGAGATCGACGGTGTGCGGAAGGTGGTCAGGGAAGTTGAGGAGACGTTGAACGTTGCTTGAAATCTTTTTTTCTTTTCTTCTTTTTTCTTTCTCCCTTCATAGTAATGCGTTTTCATTGTATGAATTGCATATGCATATCATAGAGGGACGAAAGTCATGGTTCTGCGGTCGGGTGACGATGTATACGAGCTTAGATTGTTTGGCCCTTTTATTACCTCTGTTCTCTTCTATTAATTTTACCTTGTCCCTTGCTTAGGGTACATGTGGATATTCGGTTGACGAATTCGGATGCTCCTTCATTAGGTCTAGACTCAAAACGTTGGGGGCGTAGAAAGTTCAAATGAAAAACATATATTTCTAGCTTTTATAGAATGAATGTGAACGACTGCCGAATACTATTTACACGCGCTTTCCTCAAAAACGGCCACTCCCATTTAGAAACTTTCTAAGCTTTCTTCTCCTCGCGCATCTCCTGCTTTACACGAGTCACAGTGCCGACACCACCAAACACAACGCCCGTATACATCATAGCAACGGAGGCACCAGCATCAAGGACGGCCTGAGCCTGCTTGCCGTTGGTGATACCTCCCGAAGCGAAGATGACTTTACGGGGGAACTGGTTAGTGGGGTTAGGCGTTTCCACTGGAGGAACGTTTTCCGAGTCAGGTTCCGCCTGGACCAGTTTCGTAGTAGCCTCTTGGGCAGCTTCGGCGAGTTCCGGGGTAACGGGCGCTTGGTCAAGGAGAGCTCTGTACCGAGCTACCAGGGCCACTGTGCGGTCGAAGAGTTGAGGGCCAGAGTAACCGCCGGTCTCTTTCAGGGTGCTCTGTTCTTTCGAGGGGAGAGGTACGCCCTTCGGCAGAGGTTCAGGACGGCGGTTAGTTGTGTTTCCCACAATTACACCATCGACGCCAGAGCCCTGGACTGCGGCGCAAATGCCAGAGACTTGTTCGTCTGCATCCTCATCGGGGCTGACCTTGACCATAACATATGGCTTGGTTTTGCGGTCGACGCTCTTTGCTGCGCCGACGACAGCCTTCAGGATGGCGGTAAGAGGGGCAGTCGCCTGGAGATCACGCAGGCCGGGGGTGTTCGGGCTCGAAACGTTCACCACAAGAATATCGGCGTATTTGGCCACCCGGTCAACGCAGTACACATAGTCACGCTTGATGGCTTCGATGTCGGCATCTGGGGTAACCTTGTTCTTTGCGACCTGAACAGCGAGGAGTCGTCCTGGCCGGAGACTGCCTGGGGGGACACCAGCTTCGCCGTTCAGGACACGCTCCTCAGCCAGGTCGTGCAATCCGAATCCATGGGCGTATGCGTAGTCGCGGACTCTCTGTTGCAGAACAGCTGCCATATGGTCGGCGCCCTTGGAGTTGAGACCGTATCGGTTGATCATAGCTTTTTGGGATGTGATCCGGAAGACACGAGGTCGGGGGTTTCCTTCTTGTGGTAGCGGAGTGGTACCACCCACTTCAACGATTCCAGGTCCGATCTCAAAGAGAGGGTCCGGGATATCGGCGTGCTTGTCAAGTCCAGCGGAAATACCAATCGGGTTGGCAAGGGTGTATCCGAAGACCTAAAAATACAATTGATCAATTTGAACCCTTCTAAAACTCCAAGAAAAAGACATACCTCGGTCGCGAGGACGCCATCACCGTCCTGGTTACCTCGTTCTCTAGGATGAAGTCCAAGCTTGTAAAGATTCTTCAACGCATCCACACCAATATGGTGCGCATCCTCCGCATCAGGGCACAACAGCCGAATCAGAGGCACCACGCCATACCGATGAACACTAGCCCTAGTATCCGTTCCATACACGAAGCCAACTAAAAGGGTAAGAGCCAAAGAAGTACCAATCACGGTCCTCCGGAGTCCCCGGCCTGCCTTCTTGGGCACCTCCTTCACGGCCTCCGTTGCCTCTGCGGCAGTATCCGAGGCATACCTCAAGTTTGCTTGCCGAAACACAGGCTGTCTGTGGAGGACTGACGGTCGCTGAGAACAGCGGAGAGAAGTAATTGCGCGGGCTCTAGGTCCTGCAGACCTGAAGGCAATGTTAATTGACTTAGATGCCATATTTACTATTGGATGATCCTAGGAGAATTCAACTATTGTCAAGATATTTGGTTCTTAATGGACCTACGAATGGTTAGCGGCTCCATATTAGGAATGCGCTCAACGACATAATCTTGAAGCATTGATTGAAGAAGAAACAAAAATAAAATAAAAAAAATAATAACACCAGTTCAGCATAACATAGGACTTGAAATCGTATCCATATGCAGAACTTCCATAACCTGGAGCATCGGACCACATGAACCGACGAACCCCCACCGATGACGATACCGAGCTTTGAAGAACAATCAATTGAAGGGGATAATCGACACAACTCACCACTTGAACAGGTCAATTGCAAACTACTAAGTTAGGCAGATAAGTGAAAAGCAATATAAGCTTTCCCAAGCCACGCAGACAAGCCAATCCTCCACGAGACTACACTCGAGGATGGTGCTGGAGCAATTCTTCAAGTTCACTTTTGTTTCTTGCGTTAACGGAAGTGAAGGGCGGTCAGATAATTCCTGGCAGAATGTTGAACTGATGTAATATGGGCGGTGTAGAAAACACTATAAATGTCCAAGAAGATGTTCTATAGTTTTGTAGAGACAACATGATCCCTTCGAAGCCGTTAGCCACTTTGACTCGGGGTGAAGGAACACATGAAGCCATTGGCACGGCTAAAGGAGGAGTTTATTATAGCTACGGGCCAAAACCCTGGTAGTTATCTTTCTTGGAGCTCAATATTTGCTAGATTATGCATGACTGTATTCTGTTCGAGTCATAGTATTCAGTGCCAGTATTAGCTTATCTGCGTTGGTGCGAAGAGTGACAAGTTCATAATAGTCATTTGCTTTAACATATATCCACTCATGTCCTGAGGAACAATTGGTGGCTTGGAATCACTGGCAGCACTTGTTCAACCATACAATGGGTGAACCCAACGGCTGACTCCCTCATCATGCTGCTCTAGGACGTTCATGAACCATGGTGCGGGAATCCAACGCGTGCGAGACCCCTGTTAGGATCCATTCTGTTGTCAAGATCTTCATACCGGAGAATAAACTCGCGCTGCCGGCAAGGTTTTCGTTAGCACGGGGAAGGGGAAGCTTGGTTGCGAATGGGTCCTATCGTACTCTGATCTTTTTCCAGGTGGCAGGGTCCCAGATTAGGTATATGCCTCGCTCACTGACGCCGCGCTCAACATCGACTGGTCCAGGATATGTTTCATCACGGGTAAGCCAACACCTCTCAATCTTGTGATATCTCCATTTACGACCCATTAACTCTTCTGCCACGACTTCCTGCATAATATCCCGCGGCATGCTGTAGAAGATGTAGAATAATGTCTCGTCACTAAAGCTGGCAATACGTGACTGGAGTGGTTGGATGTTGGCAACGTTGTAACAAGAAGGCAGCGCAAAATCCTGTTCCAAGGGCACACCGGTCATGGATGCAACAAAAGGGGAAGCGAAAGATGTGTGTAAAGGTCTAATATACTTTAGTTCGAGCAAACAAAACATCATCGGGTTAGTAGACATGGACATACTCCGGTTGGTTCAGGTCCAAGCCTAATGTCATCAAATCCTGACCTACTGCAAGAGCGGCGACATCCGGGCTATCGCTGTGGATCATGCGCAGAAGACCTGCTAGCCCGAATTTATCGAGCTCGCTCATCTCGCCTAGCGGCGGTTGCTCGGCACTTTGGGCGGCTCCAGAGGCCTCTTGTGTCTCTCCGGAGACAGACTGTTGTTCCGTGTAGTTGCGCTGGTTTGATAGTACTGTATTAGTCAAGTCCTGTGCAAGTTATCGTAAGCCGGTATACATGAAATCCTGATATCGAGGGCCGAACCTCTTTCTCTTGACCCGACACCCCATTGGTGGTTTGGTTGACGGGTGATCGTGAAGATCCGATACCTGGGAATTATTAATCTTTCATCAACCGATGAAGGAAGACCTCAATAAACATACTTCCTGATCCCGCATTTGCAGGTGACATTATCCTTTCTTGCCCGTTTATGGATGCTGAGATTGCGTTGCGATTCTGCGTCGACTGGGCTTGACTTGCGCCAGAAAGCGGTAAGCCAGCGTTGTAACTACCAAATCCTGCACTTTGCATTAAAGATCCCCTGCGATCTTGGCCAATCTCTGCGGCAACGTTGCGCCCTAGAGGAGGAAATTCCTCAATATTGCCCGTTTGCGGCTGTGCGCCTGCGCCTAACTGACCACTGATGCCCTGTCCGCCGTTCCTATAGTCATCGAGGCGATTGGCGAACTGGGCACCAGATGGAAATACATCATCATGCGAGGGTTGAGATTGTTGTTGAGGGTGGGATTGCGTTTGAAGTGGTCGTGAAGGTGCTTGAGACGTAGGGTGTTGCTGCCTTTGGACAGGGGTCTGTTGCATGGCTCGTTGGCTGGCATTCGCCCATACTAAGTGCCCCGGATTTTGAGCTTGGGACTGTGGGGGTGCTCCAGATAGAGAAGGAAAATCACTAGCAGACAAATCCCCAGCATTAGCAGCCAAGAAAGGTTTCCATGCCTCTTGTGTACGGAGAAGGCTCAAGGCGAGAAAACAAGCGAGATCACACTCACGATAAATCAAGAGGTGTAGCAGGCTGCGACCCACTGAGGCTTTGTGCAAAAGACCCAATATTCCCCATATTGCGCTGCTGATTGTTCTGGATTCCTGGGGTTCCGCTGACAGGCAAGTTGAAATTCCAAGCAGCACCGCTCCCTATTTGGCCTTCCTCCATTAGCTTCCAAGGCTGTAGTGATACCGAAGTACAACGTCCGAATTAGTCGCACCTAGTTTTCCGTTTGGCAAACGAGCCGATGCCAGAGTCGCATTTCGGGCTTGTGCTTGTTGCTGTGCGGGGAATCCAGACATACCCCGGAGAGGCTGTGGGCCTGGTCCTAGTCAAGAGTAACAAGAGTCAGTATATGATATGTGAATTCACATTTTTCAACCAAAAAAGGTTTGTGACTTCCTCATTCAAGCTGCCGAGGCTTGACAAGGTCTTGCAAGGCTTCCTGTCGCAGGGCAAGATGCCATGTTGTGAATCTATGCAATTGGTGCAATGCTGAGTTGAAGGTAGGGCATTTCCTGTTCACAAGAGAACTTTTGAAGTAACCACAAATACCCTGAAAACAGTAGATCCACATATAGGGAGTGATCAAAGGAAATCACTTCTGTGGCAGGCTGTACCAATACCGGGCCATGAATAGCACAAAGAGAAGAAAGGAAGTTGACGAACCTGGCCGATTCATGATGTGATACAAGCTTCCAAAGACTGTCTATTTAAGGCAAATATTGTAATTCGGAAAACCAAGAGAAAGTCAACACAAAGAGTCTGGGGAGGTATTGAAATCACAAGTGCTTCGAAGGATCTCTGCCCACTCTCATGCGACGGATACTGGAAGGTGGAGTGGCTGCACACGCGCGCTTCCAGATGTGCACGGACCATATTAGCCGCCATTTGGCGCTGCTTTGTTCCGTAACTGGTAAGGTTCCCAAATGTTAAGGTCCTTTTCAAGGACCAACCCTCAATCATTTGCTTTGATTTAAAATTGATCCGTAGATATATTCAAGATGGACGATAAGACCAAAGGCTTAATCCAATCTCTTTGTCTCTTCATGATCATCCAATTGGTGAACAATCCTGTTATATTGTTCTAGTAGCCATCGAATCCCGTCCCGCACCTGGCAATAGTTTTATACGGAGACAAAGGAAAGCCGTATGCGTATCAATACTATGGAGCTCACTTGACAATTACTACTTAACAACTCATGATTTCTGCAACAGAGCCGCAGTAGGTTGTCGCGACGGAGCGTGACCCGGCTAGCGGCTGTCGAGTCACGTGGATTACCCGCCGAAAAGTCCACTGGTTCCGTTAGCTTCTTGTGTAGGAGACCGCAGGAGTTCTACGAGTCTTCTTGAAGGCCGCTACCTCCAATCCACAATGCATCGCCAATCGGTTGCGCGACTTGCTCGCCAGTGCGGGGGCCTTCCGCTGGCCGAATTGCCTCCTCCTTACCTCGCACCGTCCCTTCATTTCTCCCGGATTCAGTGCTCGAACTTTTCGTCAACCGCTGTCGCTGCTGGCCATGGACGTGATCTGAGCAAGTCACGCGGTGTGTCCGCCATCCACCGTACTGGCCCCAAGTTTAAGTTGGGCGTTTCAAAATACCCTCTGCCCAAGCCTGTCTCGCCGGAAACACTCGAGAAGCGTAACCCTACCCCGGATCATGGTCTTTGGGGATTCTTCCCTCCGGATCATCAGGCCCTGAGCACGCCAAAATACGATCACGCTCATGGTTAGTTCACTCTCCTCTGGGCTTTGTTGAAGGAGGGTCAAAAAGAAGTATCTACTGGGCACAGGGTGATGCTCACCATTAGTTGTATAGGTCGCTCCTGGTCAATCCAGGAACTCCGCGAAAAATCCTGGGAGGATCTTCATGCTCTTTGGTGGGTCTGTGTCAAGGAACGCAATCGCATAGCTACTTCGCAGCTGGAAAGACAGCGACTGAAGGCCGGTTACGGAGAATGGGAGCTTGATAATCGGGACCGGACGGTGAGTTCTTTTTCTGCTTAGAAAGCTTGGCGAGACAATCTGTCTCCATGCATTGGCATCGCTGTACTGGACATTGATATGGCATGTTCATGTTTTGGAAATTGCGAGGATCCATTCCAATATGAGGCTTGAGCTAGTACATTGAAATCGGGACACTAACATTTACCCTGAGCAGATCCGTGTTACACAAAAGAGTATCAAGCACGTTCTCCGGGAAAGATGGTATGCCTGGGAAGATGCCCAGAAATTGTATAACAGTGGTTACCGGCCACAGGAAGAGGGTGCCGAAGAGGCATCGAGCACGGCATAATCTGGATAGAGCGTTACAGTTTCCAGAAATGGATTGAAAGGGCTCCTGTCTCAGATTATTAGTTCTGTATATGTAGTATTATCACTCTGTATTAGTCCAATTGATTTCATAAGACTTGTGATCTAGTTGAGATGCTTCATGGAGGATGAGCACGGAAAAAGGGGAGTGGATTTGCGGACCAGTCTATAGTCTTTCCGGGTCCAGATCGTATACTTTCTCACTCCAATAATTCAATAGTCGTGCTGGGGTTGCCTGATTAGGGGTTAAAGCAACGGTACTTATGTGTATATATTAATTGGCATCTATATACTCCTTTGAGTCCACGATCTCCACAGATTATTTGGTATATCCGATGGGAAAAGGGGTAAGAACGATTCAGGAGGTTTACGTATCTAGATTCATGGTTTTGTTTTGTTTTATTTTATTTTATCCTATTTTGGTGTATTTTTTCTTTTTCGTTTACCCTTTCGTTTACTAACTTCTCCCAGCAACTAAGAGTCAGAGAATTATTAACTTCGATCACTATTCTGGAAAAGGCGACTCCTTAACTATCACCCTGGCATGGGAGGTTATTTGGATCGGTGGATCCTTTAATTAGTTGAGGGGGAAGAGGGTGCCGAATCATAATAATAATACTAATAATTTCTTGCTCACGAGTGATCCGCGGGGGTATGGTTCAAAATAGTTAAGAGTAAGTAATAGAATTAACTAGACTACCTGACGGCCTGACCCAGAAGGTTGAAGGACCTCCTTTCAAAACACAAGCTCACCGCTCCCATTCATTCATTCTCCGGTCTCCGCATCCTCCCACCTTCACCTCTCACTCTACTTTTTCTACTGAACGTTTGTTTAGTCTCATTTACATTAAAACTCTTTTCGTTTCCCGCTTCTCGTGATATCCTACATCATATTCCACCATGGATGAGATCGCCCCCGAATATGATGTTGTTGTTCTCGGCACTGGTACGTGCTACTAAACTGCTACCCCGCCGCTCAACAAGCTGGACTAACACCCCTCTCAGGCCTGACCGAGTGTGTGCTTTCCGGGTATGCACACTCTTATATTCCCTAACAACATTTTTAGGTCACTTATTGATCAATATATAGTGTTCTGAGTGTCAAGGGAAATAAGGTTCTTCACATCGATCGCAATGACCACTACGGAGGGTAAGTATTCTGACAGCTGTGTTGGGAAGCTATTCCGCCCCGTCACACGTCACCACCCCCCGCTAACATTTCGAAACAGAGAGGCTGCTTCCGTGAACATCGAAACAGTAAGTTTTGATACGTATACCATGTGCTCGATGTACTAATTCCTTTTTTTTTGCACTACTCAGCTTTTCAAAAAATACGGCAACGTCCGCCCCGGCGAAGAGCCATGGAAGAAGTATGGACGGGTCAATGACTGGAACATTGACCTGGTCCCCAAGCTGCTGATGGCCAACGGCGAGTTGACGAATATCCTGGTTTCCACCGATGTCACACGTTACCTCGAGTTCAAGCAGATTGCCGGCAGCTACGTCCAACAAGGAAAGAGCCCCAAGGCCACTGTGGCGAAGGTTCCTTCAGATGCCAACGAAGCACTTCGCTCGTCTCTCATGGGCCTGTTTGAGAAGCGGAGAGCCAAGAAGTTCCTCGAATGGGTTGGCGAATTCAAGGAAGACGATCCTAGCACTCACCAGGGTTCGTGATCTGGGACGGAATGCTTGCATTGTCATGACTGCTAACATAGTCTAGGCTTGAACATTGCTCAGTGCACCATGAAGGAAGTCTATGACAAATTCAGCTTGGAAGAAAACACCCGTGACTTCATTGGCCACTCAATGGCCTTATACCAGTCCGATGAGTATATTGAAAAGAGCGGAATGGCCGCTGATGCCATCAACCGCATCCGCTTGTACGTGAACTCTATGGCGCGCTACGGCAAGTCGCCCTACATCTACCCGCTCTACGGTCTGGGCGAGCTCCCCCAGGGCTTCGCTCGTTTGTCTGCTATCTATGGAGGTACCTACATGCTTAACACCAACATCGATGAGGTCCTCTATGAGAACGGCAAGGTTTCTGGAATCAAGGCCACCATGAAGGACCGGGATGACAACGGCGAAACCATGAAGTTCACCACCAAGACTAAGAAGATTTTGGCCGACCCATCTTATTTCCCTGACAAGGCCAAGGTCACCGGATACTTGCTGAAGGCGATCTGCATCTTGAAACACCCCATCGACAAGACGGATGGTAGCGACTCCCTGCAGCTGATCATTCCCCAGTCGCAGGTTGGAAGAAAGCACGGTAGGTTTTAACAGTATCAGAAGGATGAAAACGACAATTTGCTGATAGCGTCTAGATATCTACATCGCTATGGTTTCATCGGCACACAACGTTTGCCCTAAGGGCTACTATATCGCTATCGTCTCGACCATTGCTGAGTCTGATGTTAACCACCATATTGAGCTGGAGCCTGGCTTTGAGCGTTTGGGTGAAATCGAGGAGAAGTTCTTCGGTCCCCCCATTCCGCTTTACGAGCCTCTGGAGAGCGGTGAGAATGACAACATCTTCATCTCCAAGAGCTACGATGCTACATCTCATTTCGAAACCACAACAGGTAAGTCACGTCCTCATAACCCCAAGGGGAGCGGATGAAGAACGCTAGGTTCGGTGAAGCTAACATGAATTCAGCCGATGTTCGTGACATCTATCGCCGTGCGACAGGTGAAGAGCTCGTCGTTGAAGGCCTCCGGGAGGATCAGCGGCTTGCCCAAGAGTAAATACGCTGTTATCGCATTTGAGAATTAGGTAATATATCATTGCTTTGGATGTTTTAACTTGAGCCATAATTTCTTTTGGACTTCCTTTTCCTTTGCTTATCCTCTTTTGCATCCCCCAGACATGGCAAGCTTGGAGACAGTACATTCCCTCCACTTTTGGTATATATTGTACCCATAAGATAAGTAGACACCGGGTGCCTCTGAAGATCCCGAGGGCCCGGTGTTATGTTTTCTCGGTTGTCCTACTCAGACCATCAATAACAAGATGTAATGCTGCATATTCAAGTCATCACGCTCAATCTACACAGTATATTCTAACTATAGCGTAAAAGGACAAAAGATAGAAAACCAAACATGTATGACGGTAAAATCAGATTCTCCCATCCGCCTCAGGATCCGTATTGGCTTTCTCATGTTCACCCACCACGCAGACAGCGCCATTATCAGCTCGTTGGATCTCCGCGCGCATCAGTGCCAACCGCTTCCCCGTATGGATCAACTCGCATACTAGTCGGATCTCGAGGCCTTTAGGGAGCGGACGCAGGTACGTCACTCTGAGGTTCCGACTCACTCCACCAAAGGAGAAGTACCCCGGTTTTGAGAGACCCAGGAGGAGTGTGGTCGATAGAATATCAATCAATGTAGCAGCGCAGCCCCCGTGGAGTGTTCCCACGGGATTACACATCTTGGGGGTTACATTCAACAAGAATGAGACTCGGGCTGGGGGGCCCTGAGTTGCGGATTCAAAGCGAAGATCGGCAGCAGCCGAATCAATATCCCAGCGCTAGGTTAAATCAGCGACTTATGCATCAAGTAAACTTATGGGTGGGATGAGACCTCTTCGCCATCTTGTCTATTCATGCCATTGGAGTACTGATAAACAAGGTCCTCGAATTCATCTAGTTTCCTGGCTGGGGCGCGGACCGGCATTATGAACGTATTAATAGACGTCGAAGAATAATAGTGAGAGGTTATGTTTAGAGGTCTATAATTATTATGGGGCTTTTTGAGCGGGGAGTGACTATTTGTATGTACAGGAGGATTTAGCACTCCGGCAGGTATATGCGGAGGACTGATAGCAAAAGTAGTAGACTTTCAAATATAACCGAGGTTGGACGGCTGCGGTTGGCTTATGAGTTCTAAAGTTTCTACCACTCTTTGGACACGTTTGCTGGTCTCCACAGACTGTACGGTATGGGACATTAGTGGTTAGGGTTAGAAACTTGAGGGATGCATTTCCTAGTCTATAACTCCAGGCAAATCGATGTTCTGCTTTTTATCGGTTTGTTTACCTCCTTAAATACGCCAACGTCGCCCGGTGTATATATTCTTCTACTGTTAAAGCGGACCGAGGCATCAGCCATAGTTTAGTAAACCAGAAGTTCTTCGATGTTGGAAGTCATTAATGACTTATACATCTTAATCTATCCTCTAACTTTAAGAGTATACTCGATCTCTAAACCTTGACCCAGATGACTACAGCAGCACAGCACTACCCCATCATCTGTAGCTTCGTATATACTAGGGCCGTCTTTTACCATGAGAAACCGGCCAATCCTACTCAATCAGTTCATAAGGCCTTTGTCTCATCCCAACAGACAAAAGAAACTTCCCTTCAACATATATAAACAAGTACAGCTCATGATACTGTACCGCTTCTCCAAATAATTAGGGGAAATCCACAAACTATAAGGGTACTACCGAAAACCACTTCCATCTCACCTGATTTCGCGTCACGCGTTCTGCCTCAGGCGACAAGATCGCCATGTCTAATCTCAGCCAGCGCCCGCAAGATGTATGTCCATAACATTAAGACACCACCTACTATATAAGCGCGTTTTAATTGTAAGTTATCCGACATATACAGGGCTGGGATTATATTTCTCTCGATAAGCCGCTAACAGAAACCAATCTCCCAAGATTGCGCTCGCCGTCGCAAACCTCCGAAAATAATTTCCAACTCCGCATCTGTCCTACCCTTTCTTCCCGCTTTGTTCAATGGTCAAATTCGGTCGACGTGCCATTGACGCTTCGGTTTACTCAATTTGAACCAACGGATTGGTTCCTGTACAGTGCATGCAGAGTGTAAGGTGATAAATTCACTTGGAGCAGGAATCACTGCGCCCTAGGCATCGGGGTACCGTTGTGTCGCGACGATTGGCCTGGGTATATTCACGACTAGTGGGAAGATGAAGGAATCGCGGGCTAGCAAACGAAGAAGGGTGTCTGGTGCGCCTAGCGTAGATGGGGATGGGGATGTTGCAATGGGCGACGAGGCCGCCGCATCTCCGACACCGCAGAAACCTGCTCGGAACAAGGAGTCTCCAGACAACGAACACATAGGGTCGCCGACTGCCTCACGATCGGCGCGACGCCGGGTGCCAAAGGGATACCAGAAATCTGCGGAAGACGAACCGAACAAGGAGAACGAAAATGGGATGGAGACGCCCTCAAGGCCTGGTCTACGATCGAGCGGGCGGCAGCGCAAACCCCCTCAGAGATATGAAGACCAGGTAACTGGTACACCTGCGTCGACTAGGAGGGCTCCCCCCGCGTCGGGACGAAGTGGTGCCACTCCGAGGAGTACGCGGAAGACAAGACATGTATCCGAAGACGACGACAATGAGGCAGAGTCGCCGCAATCGGAGCCTCAGACCGAGACGCTGACGAGGACGAGGTCCAGGAGACCCCCTGTGCGGTTTACTGGGACTGAGACAAATACGAATGGTGTTGAGGAATTCGGGGCGCGGAAGTCCCCTTCTCCGGATGAATACCAGGATGGATTGGATGATCTTGTCTCAATGCAATTACAGCAAGATCTTGCCCAGAATGATTTCGCTGGGAAGGATGAGACTATAGCTGGAGGCGAATCACTCCCGGCTTACGCTGAATCATTGCAGACACTGTCTTACAACGGCTTGACCGCTGAACTGGGGGCGCTGACTAGGATCATCCTTGACAAACTTACTGGCAAGAGATGTATTCCTTTGAAAGGCCTGGAGAGTGAGTATGACAAGGTTCATCAGCTTATGGAGCAGACGGTCAGTGTTGGAGAGGGCAATTCTCTGCTGCTTCTCGGATCACGAGGTTCCGGAAAAACCGCTATAGTCGAGACTATCATCTCGTCACTCAAAAGAGAACACCACAATGACTTCCACGTCGTTCGCCTCAACGGGTTCTTGCATACAGATGACCGTTTGGCGCTTCGTGAGATGTGGCGCCAGCTTGGTCGTGAAACCAATACTGAAGAAGAGGCGGGGAAAGTAAGCAGCTACGCGGACACGATGGCCACTCTCCTTGCTCTTTTGTCGCACCCAGAAGAACTGTTTGGTGCTTCTAATAATACAGACACCGTAACCGCAGCCAAGTCCATTGTTATTATATTGGATGAGTTCGATCTCTTTGTCACTCACCCGCGTCAGACCCTCTTGTATAATCTGTTCGATATTGCACAGGCGCGGAAGGCCCCCATTGCGGTCTTGGGCTTGACCACGAAAGTGGATGTGACTGAGATGTTGGAGAAGCGAGTGAAGAGTCGGTTCAGCCATCGCTACGTCTATGTTCCTCTTCCAAGATCATTGGAAGGCTTTTCCGAAATTTGTCTAGCCGGTCTGGACCTGGAAGATAAGGAGGTTTCGGACTACTTGGAAGAGGCCAATCCCGAGACGCGCTCACTTATCACATCCGAAAAGTTTGGAAGACTATTGGAAGGGTGGAGAGCGTATTTACAGGTATCTTCACCTCTTGTTTGCCACCTTCTAATGTTGAAACGGCGAAGCTTACTTAGAACAGGGCCTGTGGAATGATGAGGCGTTTCAAGCGCATCTACGGAGGATATTCTTTCAAACTAGATCGGCGAAGGAATTCTTTACCAGCGCTTTGATTGGCATGACGGAGCTGCATTACAGCACCTACCACCCCACAGGCGGAGCTGCCACGCTCCAGATCCCAACGCCAACCACCTTTAGCAACCACAGCCTATCTTGCCCAGATCCCGGACCTCTGCCATTCTCCACCTCGACAACGACTTCTGCCAGTCCCTCATCGCTGCCCCTATCTTTGTTGTTGGCGGCCACCCGGCTGGCTGCGTTGTATGACCCGGGTCTAGAAACTACACAGCCTCAGAGTCTGGCTCCTTTGGCGCTATCATTCCCCGCAGCATATGCCGAGTACGTCCGGCTTTTGACGTTCGCTAAGACATCGGCTTCCGTGTCCGGCGCCGCCGCAACCCCTGGAAGAGTCTGGGGTCGGGACGTCGCACGTGAAGCGTGGGAGAAGCTGATCAGTTGGGGGCTGATAAGTCCGGTTGGCGGAGGCAGTGGCACAGCAGATGGTCGGATGTTCCGGGTAGAAATTAGCTTTGAAGAAGTAGTTGACATGGCTGGATCAGGTGGTTCCTTGGGGAAATGGTGGCGCGACGGTTAATTTTATTTTATTTTCTTTTGGGTGGGGGAGTTAATCTAGGTGTGCAAATGTACTTGTACATTAGTGACTCTCTCTCCCTCTCTCTGAGGGTTTACATGGCGCTGAAGGAGGATCTCTCACTGACAAGCGGTCAATGCAGGATCAAACTCGGCCAATGCCATACAGGTAATAGCCGAGTAAAATGAAACGTCTTCTGTTTCTCTTCCGATCCTCTTATCACTCGGGAACATAGATAGGATATCGTATTAATCAATACGCAATTAGTTCGGCCAGTATCCGAAGGCCCCCCCCCCTATAGAGGAAGTAATCCCCATATATTGCATGATGGTGAAAGAAAATGGAGTCACTCCCTGGACCTATAAGATCTATGTTAATAACGGTTGGGCGATCATCAGAGCCCGCGGAGTCTCCGTTCGGTCTAAACTTGCATGATGGCATGGAACTGAATGTAACGATGGAGCTAAATTGGGGCAATCAACAGGGGGGGGAAGACTAAACTGAGTACGGTTGGTGGTGGGTGGTGGATTGAAGGAGTTCATGAAGAGGAATGGAACAGGACCTTGTTCTGACTCTGCAGACTTCAGAGTGGTCAGATTAGCTAACCTAACAAAAGCCTAGTTACCAGGGGTGTGAAGAAAGAGCCCATGTGGAGAAAGATGGAGATGTTGGGGGATAGTGTGTCATTTTAGCTTGAAATGTCAACGAGGCTATAATACGAATAAGTTATGATAATTATAGACATGCCTCTTTTCAGGATTTTAGGTTTGTCTGATTGATTTAATTTCTCGTTTTCGTTCCCCCCCTTTTAACTCTCTCTAGTCAAGTTACTCAGCCGTTCGAATGATGGGTCGAGAAGTGAGTTCGGTGCAACCCCCCTCTCCTCTGGATGCATGGGTGCCTGGTCTAGCTCCATGTTGGAAGTATCAGAATAGTATAGTAGAAGGACTCTTTCATCCTTTGGTGCAAGCCAGCGATGAGACTAACACGGATCGAGTTACCACTGCCCGAAGTTAATCCTGACTGGAGGTTAGTAACTAGTAATATCTCGCACTGAGTAGAGGCTGATGGAGACGCTCTTTTCCGGTTAGCCCTAAGTTTTAATCCTCCTGACTATTCTCCTGTCATCCTGGTCCATCTCAATCGTATATCGAATAGCTGGCGAATTAGGCGGCGCTTTCTCCACACTAATGCATAAAATGTCCTTCTGCTGCCTACCTCAGAGGAGTTGCTCACTGGTCTCGGCGAGGGTTATTGTAGGTCAGCCAAACGTTGTCCGGCTTTTGCATTTAGTCTCTTTCGTTATGCATCTGACTGCATAGAGAGGGTTTCAGTTGCGTTCATTAGACGGATCTCTCGACTCGATGGATGATAAGCGGGTATGACTATCAATTTCACTCATGGGTATAATCCTATCCATTGGCATGGTCTGATCCTGAAACCCCAACCTCCCAAGAGGTCAAGGGTACCGGGGAGTGACATTCGACGCGAGGAGGGCGAAGATGAAACCAACATTGACACAGTGGATGCAAATGCAATCAACTGTCAACATCCCTGTTACCTCCGGACCAGGTTTAGCCGTTTAGCGACGTCGCTAAGGGCAGGCTGGTAGCCTGGGGCCGCGTCCAATAGGGAGTGGCAGCTTCATTCCGATCAGCTTATGCCAATTGAGATCTGCTAAGAAACGTTGCATGATATGCGCGAGCATATACCGTTTTAAGTCGTAGCTCCCTCAGACCGATTCCAAATCAACCCTGTTCATATCGGCAGTGGAACGAG